GAGAGAGAGAGAGAGAGAGAAATACTATTCTAAAATATTTCAGAATAGAAACAGACTATTTCTTAATAACTGGGATCTATGCACATCATTTATACCCTAGGTCAAGTTTTAAAGAACATGTACAGTCAATCAGTAATTACAGGTAGTCCTCAATTTATCATCATTACTGAGACGAGAAATATGGTCACAAGTCATTATAGCCAGAAGTCAAGCATTCATATGACCAGAAGTAATTTTCTAACTTTTTCCGTCATTAAGTTGAAAATATTCATTTGAATGGGCGTTTTTTGAAGGGAAACTGGCAAAAAAACATCAAACTCTTCCATTTAAGTGGTTTGGAAGTTAACATTTGTTATTTTGCCATGTGAGAATTAAAAAGAGTAATTTTTTCATGACATCTTTGATTTGTTGTCCCTAGGACTTTGATCAGATGCTGGAAGCCATGAAAGGTGCGCTGGCTGAAGACTTACACACAGCCTTTGTGTTCAACTGTCACAGTGGCAGAGGAAGAACTACAACAGCCATGGTTATGGCTGTCCTCATACTTTGGCATTTCAATGTATGTGCTCCTTTGGAGAGGCATGGGCTGAACAGTCTAGAGTTATGTAGAAAGTGGGACCTCGTATCTCGAATGAAATCCTACTGCAGAGGCTATCAAAACCCACTTTATTTCAAAGCTGGGTCAGGTTTTAATCTTTCACACTACTTTGGGAGCTGCATATCTGGAAGAGAAGGAAATAAAATAAAGTGTGATATTAATTTCTCCAGATGTTGGCAGTCTTTGTGGTCCCCTCTGAGGAGCTATGTAGCAAGGTCTTCCTAATCTTTCTGAATTCATATTTACCTCTTCATCATCCATTTAAAAAAGCTTTTCATGTTTGCAACACAAGACAATTCTCCAAAAGAGACACCTTATTTTAGTTCTGATTATATTGCTCCATGTTGAAATATGATGGCTTCCTTTTTGTTCAGAGTATTGTTCAGAGTATTGCAGCGTAAATTCAGTGCCCGAAAAGTAAACACAGACGGCTGAGGCTTCTTTTAACTTCTTTATAAACATATAAAGTAAATTTTACAATACCACTTGTAGATTTCTCCAACATGGAGCAAACTGAAACAGAAGCAGACATGTTACAGGTTCAGAGCAAAACAGCAACTCAGGAGCTCAGAAACAGACATCAGTTTCACTTTAGTTCAACAGGCAAGCAAGACAAACATCAGAGGAGAGAAGCAGTTTCATTTTCAATAGACAGACTCAGAGCTTAACATAGCTTCAGAGCTGCAGAGCTTAATATAGAGCCATGCCTAGGCTACTTCTAGTTTCAGTTTCCAAACAGTCCTCATTGGCTGACTTAGTTGCTGTTCATTGGCTGACCCTGTTACTATGCTCTATTCCAGTTCATGAATATACTCTGACACTTTTCTGGTCGAATTTGATTTTTAAAACAGGGGAACTATTTCTTTTTAAAAAAGCAATGTGGATATGTGTGCTCATGTGTAATTGTTTTGGACCATGATTTTAATATAAATATTCCAAGATGGGCTAAATCAAAGCAGGGTTGTCCAGACCTTTCCCAGGAAATTGAGCTCTGTAAAACTGTCCAGGGTGGTCTTCAGTGAGAAATGAATAACAGAGGTCCATAGAAAACAGCTCACTCAGCTCTGACCAGAAGACAATTTGAGCCATTTTTTTTTTCAGAATGAATGCTTGCTTATTATAGGATAAAAGTATTTAGTCTATTTAGTCTATTATCATGTCAATTCTTTCTTTCAAAATGTCAGAGACAAGCTGAAGGCAGTTTTCTTTATTATGGCAGTTGGAATTTGGTCAACCTTGTCTTGTTGCTTCATCCTAACTTAGCAAACTTTGGCTAATTTGCTAACAGTTTGGCAGTAAGCCAATTTCGATCCCTAGATTATAAGCCTGATTTATTTGGAAGTTGGGCAGCCTATTGAATTGCCCATAATCAGAAAAAATAGTGGCTATATTTCTACACCGAATTATTCCCATTCTTTCTGCCATTTACAAACTAAAACAAGGGTCTTCAAACTTGGCAAGTTTAAAACTTGTGGACTTCAACCCCCAGAATGAGCTAACTATGACTGGAGGAGGAATTCTGGGAGTTGAAGTCCACAAGTCTTAAAGCTGTCAAGTTTGAAGACCCCTGAACTAAAACATCACCAGTCCTTCAGTGCACCATTAATAGTACACTTTCAGCCATGCCATTATTCTAAAAGTTGTTCTTGTGTCAAACAACATACCCTAATGACAGGTGTCCTTAATGACAATGGTTTTAATGATCAGGTTGGCCCAAGGAAATTTTTTTGGACCCATTCTAAAACTAGGCCAAAGAAAAAGGAGAGAAGAAAGGACACTTGTTTGCTGCAGATTGAAGAAGCATTCTTTTCTGACTGAAACTTTCCTCGAAACTTTGCCATGTGCAAAGATTGTTTTAGAAAACAATCCAGAATCCTGTGTGGGGTTCTTTGGTGGAGAGAGGGATGTAAAATGTTGCTTCTTCATCTGTGTTTGGTTCTTGAGTCAGTCTTGACTCTGATGACTGCCTAGATGTGTCCCTGTAGTTTCTTGGAAATCTTTTTGGAAGTGATTTGCCATTGCCTGCTTCCTAAGGGCAGAGAGACGATGACTGGCCCATGTTCACCCAGCTGGCTCTGTGCCTAAGGTAGCACTAGATTTTAGGATTGCCTGGTCTCTTAATTCAGTGCTTTAACCAATACACTGGACAGGATCTCTATAAAATGGTTTGCCGGTGATCAAAAAGCTTTTTGAAAGCTGCAGGATATAGTGGTTTACAAAATAATACACTTGTTACAAATCTGCACAAAGAAGCACCCCAAATTGTTGGCAATCCTGGTTTTAGTGTATTTCTTACGTTGTATATTCCAGGGATATCAAACTGGATTTCTTCAAGGGCTGGATCAGCATTGTAGTTCTCTGCGGACCAGCCAGGAGGATGACGAGGATGAGATGGACATCTCCTGCAATACCCTGCCGGCCAAAACGGGGCACCGGTGGGGGGCTGCATGCGTCCCTCCCGTGCCCCGTTTTCGGCCTGGACAGCCTCCTGTAGCACTCTGCTGACCAAAACAGAGTGCTTCAGGAGGCCACGCAGGCCAAAAACAGGGCACGGGGCCTTTGTGTGCGCTTCCCCCCACCTCTGCACCTTGTTTTGGCTGTCAGAGACACCACCGGCCGGTCCTTTGCTATTTCCAGGATCTGGCCTGTGGGCCTTGAGTTTGACAACCCTGATATATGCCAACCCTTTAAACCCTTTTAGCTTTTCCATAGCTTTAAAATTGAGGCTAAGCTTGTTTTGTTGCTGCAGGGAATCCCTGAGATCATGGAGGATGAGTTTGTGAGTGTGCCTGATGCCAAGTACACAAAAGGAGAATTTGAGGTTGGTGTCTTCTAATGCATGCTTTGTATTTTGTTAATGTAATGCTTTTCCAGCAGGGAACCTTCACGTTCATAAATAAATTCACAGACTGAGTTTGAATTCCATGCCAACCCTGCTGTGTGTGATTTATTCAATAAAGTGTATTTTAATTTAGCAGTGGGAGTATATGCACGAAACAGAAGCCATCTTGAACAGCTTTGAACACAAGAGCCCAACCTGAAATGTTACATTGACATGAGTTCTAAACTGGCTGTGTTCTGATAGGCCAAAATTAAAAATATTTTAAGCATTCTAACCAGTTTTTACATAGGTTTTGCTATGCTACTTTCATAGTGACATCCTATAAGTAGATTTGTACAATTCCTTTTTAAGGCAGTTATGGGTAGTTCACATCTAAATGTAGTGGCCAGTTGCAAGGAAGGAAGGAAGGAAGGAAGGAAGGAAGGAAGGAAGGAAGGAAGGAGAGGGAAGGAAAGTGCTTTTAAATGATGAATAACATTAACACCACAGCAAAAGATAAGATCAGTTAGAGAGGGTACGCAAGCAAAGCTTAGAAAGTTAGCCAAACTATATATCTTTTTGATTTTTTTTTGTATGCATCCTAATGCTCAGAATGAGATAATGAACAAAATGTGCACAAAGCCAAGAAGATGAATTACACTAATAGCAGGCTAAAAGTCTTTCTGTTGACACATTAAGAGCAACGCTTTTGAATTATTTGTTTGAGAAGCAAAACTTGGTGTTCTCATGGCAATTCAGCCAAAAAGACTCCTAATATCTAATAACTAAAATGTGGCTTCCAGCTATCTTCCCTTTTGTGCTTAACATTTTCATTTGAGCTGCCCAAGGTAAATCCGTAACAGCAGGGACACAGTTGATTCCAGCAACTCTACTAATCAGGCTGGAAAAACTTTGACAAGAAGCAAACACAGCCACTAACCAGATAATAACAAGATGCTGGTCGCACACCGAACAGGACAGCTCTGCTAGTTGGGGAATTCTGGGTGTTGAAGTCCATGTCTCTTAAAGCTGCCAAAGTTGAAGAAACACTGTGATATCCATCTCAGGGCTTCTTTAAGTTGTTTTTTTTTTTAAACGATGCAAGGAAGATATCTAAGTCCTAAGCTTTGCCTTCATAGATAAACTGTGTTTCTTACATCTGTAGGGAGATGTTTTCTGTGCTAAGTGTTTAGTCACTGTGTGAGAAAAGAGACTCCAGAAGGGAAAAAGCTTCATAATCAGCTCTATGGTTTGTTTTTAATCTGCCAGGTGGTGATGAAAGTGCTTCAGATATTGCCAGAGGGACACCGGATGAAGAAGGAGGTCGACATGGCATTGGACACAGTGAGCGAAACGATGACGCCTATGCACTATCACCTGAGAGAAATCATCATCAGTACTTACAGACAGGTAAGGTTGACCTCAGAGAGAAGAACAAAGACAAACAAACAAATTACTGGATGTATTTTATGAAGTTCTGCTCATTTCTGGTCCATTCTGCTGTTAAGACCAATAAGTAGGTGTGGGTGTGATGTGGTTTTAGTCAGCCATGTAAAATTGAAAAGTCTTGGAGTCAGTGGTGGGATTCCACATTTTTTCCTACTGGTTTTCTTTCTTTCTTTCTTTCTTTCTTTCTTTCTTTCTTTCTTTCTTTC